TAGTGAGTTGGATTTTTGACACTCAGCCATCTAAAGAATGCCTATAATCATGCAGTGTAGAGGGAAGGCAGATTCTGGAAAAGACAGTCTGTTAAGTTTGACAAATTCTCAGATATTAAAGTTATAGTTCTTGGGCATATAGAAAAAGTGGTAGTCACTAGGTGCTGAGGTGTCCAGTAACACAAGCCATGCTAAAGTGGATGTATTTCTGTGAAAAGAGCACTAGAGTGTGGATTTGGAGCCTGTTATGGACAATGTCTCTGCATTTTCCTCTCATTTTTTTTTTCCTTTTTTTTGAGACGGCTCTGTAGCCCAGGATAGAGTATAGTGGCATGATCTTGGCTCAGTGCAACCTCCGCCTCCTGGGTTCAAGCAATTCTCCCTGTCTCAGCCTCTTGAGTATCTGGGATTACAGGCACCCATCATGATGCCTAGCTAATTTTTGTATTTTTAGTAGAGACGGGGTTTCACCATATTGGCCAGGCTGGTCTCAAACGCCTGACCTCAGGTGATCCTCCCGCTTTGCCCTCCCAAAGTGCTGGGATTATAGGCATGAGCCACCATGCCCAGCCAGTCCTCTCATTAACTTTTTATGGACAAAGTAGAGAAAAGCGATGGTATACTAATGTCTGCATAATCATCTTAAGTGACTTTATATGACAAATAACTTAAATAGTGCAGGCAGTTCTGCCATCATTCTACTCAACAAGCATGTGTCCCAGAATAAGAGATGACAGATGTGACTTGGTTGAATGGCTTTAGTTCTTATCGGTGTCTCAGTGTAAGCATCTGACTGTACCGGTTCAGATTTTGGTACATAAATGGGTGTTTTCATATAACATGAGCCTTAGATCAAGCTGACTACACCAGGCACTCAACCAAAAAAAGAATGATCTGTTCCAACACTGTATAATAAAGTATAGAAGAAAGGAGGCAGGGAGTGCCTTGTAAGATTTTCACTTTACCCATTTTGGACACTGTAGTCAAGTTTATTTTTTTATTTTTTATTTTTATTTTTTCCAGACGGAGTCTCACTCTGTCGCCCAGACTGGAATACAGTGGCGTGATCTCAGCTCACTGCAACCCCTGCTTCCCAGGTTCAAGCAACTTGCCTCAGCCTCCCAAATAGCTGCTATTACAGGTGTATGCCACCATGCCTGGCTAATTTTTGTATTTTTAGCAGAGATGGGGGCTTCATCATGTTGGCCAGGCTAGTCTCAAACTCCTGACCTCAAGTGATCCACATGCCTTGGTCTCCCAAAGTGTTGGGATTACAGCGTGAGCTACCACACCCAGCCTCATCCCCCGACTTTTATATTCAGTACCGGGTGCCTCTAGAACTGGATGACAAAGTTGCTGAGGGATTACAGACTCACCATCTAGGAAGAAGCTGGGAAGAGACTTTTAACACAATAGATAGCTTGAAATACTCAGAGGGGTCTCACACCAAAGAGGGATTAAACTTGTTCGGAATTGTTCCAGAGAGCTAAACAAGATCCAATGTATAGATGAAATCAGCCAATAGGAAGTGGATTCAACCCAGAATGAGACTGCTTTAATGATCAGAGCTGTCCAAATACAGAATGGACTGCCTTTTGCCATCTCCATCACTTTACACGGGCTGTAGAGCTTTGGGAAGTTGTCTGGGGCCTCTTTTACAAGTCACTCTTTTCCACTGGCCATTCTGTCTAACTTGCCTTTTAAACCAGCCTGCCTTTTAGCAGCTAATGTCCTCCTTTCTTAATGCCTTTGAAGTTCTTTGATCAAATCATCCATCTTTCTGAATCACAGTTTCTGTTTTCTCTCCCTGTCCTCAATTGATTGAATGTGCCTGCAATCCTTGCTGAAAAATAGGGTATTTCTAAAACCTATTCTTACTTTTTAAAACACTTGTTAACAAGAAGCAAGTATAACACGATGCATAAAATAAATTAAGCACAAGTTTATTTCTACATCAGAGAAACTAGATATTTCTGCCTTTGGGAAGCTGCGTTTCTGATAAATTTTGGCAACCCATCAACAACAGCTTTCAGAGACACCAGCAGGTTGAGGAACCAAGAGCATAATTGTTATATGATGTCTAAGGGGGCCAGTTCTGGGCTTAAAATCACACTGTTTCAGCTTAAGGGAGTATTCCAGCCTCCAGTAAATAGAAAGCTTGCAGAGAACAGTGTAGGAGGGCAATGGCAATGTGGTAACAGTGCCAACGAGAACTTGAACCTTCCTCCTTTCTGAGAAACCTATAATGCTTTCTAGCTTTATTTTTGTCTGTTTTAAACTGACTACACTTCACAGCCATTCTGATGAGATAAGTAGTTCAGAGAGGCCTTCTAGTTTATTTCACAAATTGGAAATCAATAAACTTGAGTTCACTGAAAATTTGCTGAGGCCCTCCTATGGGGGACGCCCTTTGCAAGTTGCTTATGGGCTAGGGATGTTGGGACTCATTCATTCATTCAAACAGCAGGCATTTAATAAATGAGGAGCATACATGAGGGACTGTTCTTTGTACTGAGGATGGACAAGATGTACAAGGCCCTGTTCGTATAGAGCTTCTGTCTTAGAGCTCCATGAGACCCTAGGAGACAGGCAGTTAACAGCTAAACCAAAATACAATGCCACAAGTAAGCACTGTTAAGAAAATAAAACTGGCCGGGCATGGTGGCTCATGCCTGTAATTCAGCACTTTGGGAGGCTGAGGCCGGTGGATCACCTGAGATCAGGAGTTTGAGACCAGCCTGGCCAACATGGTGAAACCCTGTCTCTACTAAAAATACGAAAACTAGCCAGGCATCGTGTTGCACACCCATAATCCCAGCTACTCAGGAGGCTGAGGCATGAGAACTGCTTGAATCCAGGAGTCCGAGGTTGCAGTGAGCCGGGATTGCACTGCTGTCCTCCAGCATGGGTGACAGAGCAAGACTCTGTCTCAAAGAGAAAAAAAGAAGAAAACTGAAAAAATGTGATGAAAGGTGAACTGTGGAGAGTAGCCACTTTATTTTTTTAATTTCTTTTTTTCGAGACAGGGCCTTACTCTGTCGCCCAGGCTGGAGTGCAGTGGCATGATCACAGATCACTGCAGCCTTGACCTCCCGTGTCCAAGCAATCCTCCCTCCTTAGCCTCCTCAGTAGCTGAGACTAAAGGTGCAGGCCACCATGCCCAGCTAATTTTTTTAAATTTTATTTTAGTAGAGATGGAGTCTCGCTATATTGGCCAGGCCAGCCTCAAACTCCTGGGCTCAAGGAATCCTCCCGCCTCAGCCTCCCAAAGTGCTATGATTACAGACATGAACCACTGTGCCTGGGTAGCCACTTTAGAGAGTCAGCAAAGACATCTCTGAGGAGTGGACATGGAAGCTGCGATCTGAATGGAAAGAGAACAACACAGGTGAAGGTCTGTGAGAAGAGCATTCCATACAAAGGCTGAGGTCAGGAACTCCTTCAGAAGCTCATAATTGCACCGGAGGCGCTTACAACCCCAAGCAGTGACAGTGGCACAGAATATTCAACATCAAATGCCAAAGATAATTTCCAGGCTGAGAAAGGCAAACCACCCTTCTGCCTGCCTGCAGTGCTTGCATCGGTCCTGAAAGAGAGAGATGAGGTAAGGGAGAAGAATTGGTAGGAAATGGTGCAGAGCTGGTCTCAGAGGCAAGAACAGCCAGCCCTCCAAGACCACACCCCCACCGTGCAGTCACGTGCCCCTCCTGAAGAGGCTCTGATCCTGTGACCTAACCAGTTTCCACCTTGCTTCTCTCAGTGCGTTGCCATACAGTAGAAATTTTTTTGTTTGTTTTGTGTAGGGTTTTGTTGGTTCTTTTCCAAGTAACAATCAAAACTACATGCCAACCTCCACTCCTTGGAAATAATTAAATGACATGACGTGCCTGATTTTTTTCAGCTGGGTGATGCACTGTGATTTGCATCTGTTGAAGGAATTTATCTTAAGTCCTGAAGCCCAGCTACTTGAGGCAACTGAGGTGATTTTTCTGCTCTGCTTTTGCTCATCTGGTTGGTGCATTATTGCTAAACACAAGAGTGGACCAAATGCTTCATTCTGCAATCTACTCCCTGAAGAAAGCTGCTCTTCTTTGTGAAGCGAATATGTTCATATTTTGTTCATGAATTCCATGCAATTTCCCATCCCCTTGTTAAGTAATGTAGCTTCTTTATGTTGGCAAAATTATCTTTATCCTGCGGCGACTCGCGCTTTGTACAACCCACCCGAGCAGAGCAAATCATCTGTGGCTTAAGAGCAGACTTTGGATTCAGGTCCCCTTTTTTCCTCTCTGGGAAGTGAGTCTACGAAACGGCCTTCATCTGAAAGCCACAGCGAAGCACCTCCTAGCCCAAGTCTAGCTGCTGTGTGGCAGCTCCAGCGGCGTGACCTGTGACTTCCATGCAGACACCTATCAAGCGATGCACGAGCTATTAATAATAAAATCAACTCTCCTCCCTCCCCTGAGAGGGGGGTTTCCTCGTCAGGGCCCAGAATCCGCTGGGAAAGAATCGGGGTTGGCGTGCGAAGGAGCAGGCGGCGGGGGTGTGGGATGCGGTGTTCCCGAGGCGACAGATGAAGGATTTGGGCTGTGTGGGAAGGGAACTGCGGAATTACTCCCCTTGGTTCCTGAGGGGGGCTCTGAAGGAGACTGATTAGGATGCAGAGCGCAACCCGGGCGACCGAGGGCGAGGAGGCGAGCCAAGGACACCAGCCAGAGCGCGCTTCGAGAACGCCCCGCGTGGACCGCGCTCCTAGCTCCTCCGAGTCGCCTTCCATCCTCCCACCGGCCACAGGGCAGCGAGTGCAGGGAGCCCACTGTGAGCGTCCCACCCTGCGCCTGCAGGTGGACGAGCCCGAGAACCGCACACGCCGAGAACGGTGCCCCGTTTCTCCTCCGCCAGCCCCGGGGCCGCGGCGCGCGCGGCCTCGATCCGGGTTCCTAGAGGCGGCGCGCGGGAGTGGGCGGGGCCTGCGCGGCGGCGTGGGCGCCAGGCGCGCGGGAGGAGGGAGCCGGGGGAAGGGGGCGGGGCCGTGCCGCCCGCGCCGCGCTGGGCGCTCTCGGCCAATGAGCGGCGTCCACATGCCGCGGCAGCGGCGAGAGGGGAGGCAGCGGCCGATAAATGCTATTAGAGCAGCCGCCGCGGAGCCGTCCCCGACGCCACCTCCTTCTCCTCCGCCGCAGTTTCTTCCGCCGCTGTCGGGTGTGCGGGGCTGAGAGACCCGGGCGATCTTGCCGCGCACCGCCCCGCCTGCTCGCCTCCTTCGCCGCGTTCCGCCCTCAAGGGTCGGCCGGGCGCCCCCTCCTCCGGCCCGGGCGGGGCCTCTGATCGTCTTTAGAGAGCGGGGAGGGGGCTCGGGGGCCGCGGCCTGCGCTCCCGGCAGGCAGCTGAGGGCGAGGGAGGCCCTCCCTTCTGGCGAGAGGAGGGAGGGTCAGGAGCCCCCCACCCGCGGCGGAGCTCCGGGTCGCGCGAGGGGCGGTTGTCTGGGGGAGGGGGCGCGAGGTGATTCAGCGCCCGGCGAGGCGGAAGCGGCGGCAGGAGGAGGAGGGGAGCGCGCCCGTCCGCGCCTGGGCTCCCGGGGTTGCACGAGCCCGCGGCCCGAGTGCGAGGCGGAGGCGAGGAGGCCGCGGGGACTAGAGGCGAGGCCGGCCGGGCCCCCGAAGCCATGGAGAACGCGCACACAAAGACAGTGGAGGAGGTGCTGGGCCACTTCGGTGTCAACGAGAGCACGGGGCTGAGCCTGGAGCAGGTCAAGAAGCTCAAGGAGAGATGGGGCTCCAACGGTAGGTGCCCGGTGCCCGGCGCTCGGCTGCGGGGGCCTGGCGCGGGCCGGAGAGCCAGGGAAGATGGCTGACCCGGTTCCACCTCGTGGGCTTCGGCTCCGCGCCCGCCGACGGCTGCGGACGGAGGGTCGGGCCCGCGCGCCCTTCCCGCGGCGGGGAGAGGGGCTGCGGGCCTCGCCTCGCCTCGCCTCCCCTAGACCTCCTCGCGTCTCGGGCCCTTGACCTTCCCGGCGCGCATGGCTCTCCAACAGCAGCCAGGCCGGGTGGAGGGAGGAACGAGGCTCCTGCAGCGGGGAGCCCGGCGAGACGTTTTCTCGTCCCCTACCGATTTATGAGGCGTCGAGGTCGTTGGGAAAGCCTCTGACCGTTCTTGTCTTACTCAAAGTTACACATCTGGCAGAAGTGATGACATCGCTGAAACCACTCTGGTTCAGGAGCCCTAAGTGATTTCACGCTTCGGGGTAGACCTCAGGCCATTGATTACAAGGAGTGCCTGCTTCCTTGGGATACTCTTGTTGTATGCTTTCAAAAAAAAAAAAAAAAAAAAAGTCGGTTATTCCTATAGCCAGGTCTATTTTTTAAAAAAAATTGATGCTTAGAATTATAGCAGTTCTTTTTAGAAAGACGGAGTACTAAAATGTCTCTCTCTTTTTTTAACCTCTCTCTTGACACATTGCCTGGGCGAATTTCTACATTCTGCAGAGTTACCGGCTGAAGAAGGTAATCTTAACATGTGTTTCTTTTTTCTCTGTTGGTGTGCTGGTGGTAAAATGACAATTACAACACGTGTCTTTTCTAACAGGAAAAACCTTGCTGGAACTTGTGATTGAGCAGTTTGAAGACTTGCTAGTTAGGATTTTATTACTGGCAGCATGTATATCTTTTGTAAGTATAAAAAATATATATTTTATTTCCCCCAAAAAGCTGAAAGTATTTCATAGGTAAATCAGAAAACAAATGATGTTCATTGAGCGAAAACATATTAGGAGATATGATCTGTGTTTCATGTTTAAAAACAATCTGGGTATTTTAAAATTACAATACTTGAAGCCATTGGTATTCAGATAATAAATGCTTGACATTTACAGTGCAGTTAGGAATTGCCCCAGAGTGTGGCATGGTCTTATAAATTTTTGTGGTTTATCAGCTTTTAGTATCAAAAAGTTCTTCATTGGGAAGCCTTTTCTGTTTGGGGTTCTTCCATTGTTATCGTGTTGTAAGATCATACTAAGATGATGTTGGACTCTTTGTAGTCTGTAAATAGAACTTACAGAAGGAATATTCCAGTTGCTTTCCCTTCCTGGTAATGGCAAGGTGACAGTTGTTCCTGACGATGACGGCTGTGATGGCACCATTGTTGACCAAATTTGGTCACTGACCTTTAGGGTGGTATATTTATCTAAATTGGACCCCTGTCTTAAGTGATTCTTAGGTTGAGAGCAAGGTTTCGTATAGTTGGTTCTAGATCTTAAAGGAAAAAAACCAGCATGGTGTTTTTTCTTGTGTGTGCTTACCCACTTGAGTTCTATATTGTTGCTAAGAAACTAGTGAAATGCAAAGAACTACAGCAGGAAAAAGGTGTTGGGGTGGCAAGTATATTTCTAGGTTATCAACTTTTTTTTAATGTTCAGTATTAATTTTTTGTTGCATTTTTTTTTCTTGGGCTATAGGCTGGTAGTTTTCCTAAAAATGATCATGAATAGGACACAGATGTTCCTAATCCTAACAGCATGAGATGCCTTTTATTATTCAATTACAGTAATCTTACAAACACCATGATGACAAGTGAAATTCGCCCAATGCAATACTTCTTTCTAGTTAAGACAAAATGGACAAAACTTCACGGTTTCATTTTTGTACATATATGTATGCATGTCCCAGGGGTCAGCCTCAGTCTTTATAACAACCACACCATAGGGGGCTATTTTGAGAATGAAATAAAGCAGTGGGCATTTATTTCGTTCCAATGAGGGAAAGATTAATTTTATACCCAATCTTTTAAGTAGATAGTGGTGGCAGGAAATAAATTTTTGGAATAATTTTTACATAAATCCTGCCATGAAACTTTATTATGCCTTATTAGCCAAGTGGTGTGTAGCCATTAAGAATTCAGTCCCCAAGAACCCTTTTTGTGGTTTTCATTGATTAACATGGGCACTTACATAGCATCCATTCAGAGTTGAGTCGATCACTGACAATGTATCTCTGACGTATCTGTTTTTCCTTGATGGATTAAAAAAATTTTCCCCAGAAAATGGATGCAATTTTACCAATTAAGGGAAATGAGTAGAGCTGTCTGATTAACTATAGTTTGTCATGGGGCAAAATTAATGACATATTTGGAGGTAGTGTAAGATTTTTATTTAACTGGGTACGTAATTCTGAAATAGTCTTAGCGTTGGCAGTTAAATACTGGGGTCTGATAAGGTCATTGGGAACTTCTTAGAGGTTAATCAGCTGATGTATACAAGCCAGAAGTAAAATACATTTTTACTGAATTCTATGCATTACAAGTCGAAGCATTGTGCGAAACCATGGCACTGGTGTTACTATTGGGGTTGTATAGGGTCTCTTCAGTGGCCAGTTTGAGTGACTTTATATTAGCATTTTAAATTAATAATGTGTGTGAGTTTTGTTTTTGTTTACTTTGAAATAATTAGAGGCTTATAGTTTGTAGGCATTTCAAACAAGTTTTTAAATAAATGCTTTAGTTTTTTTAATACGGTAGGACCATGGCTTTTGGGAGCATTATAGAGCTATGGTTTGGAGTTGAAATTTGAGTTCTTTTTGGTAACTACGTGGAGTTATTACTGAGGAAATGAGATATGTTACATTTTTATTTGAGCTGGTAAATAGCAAGAGAAAAGTGGTTAGGGAGTACTTCTAAAGAATTAATTTGCTTTGGTTTGTTTGATCAAGGAATTGCAGTTGTAAGACCTGTTGTGTTGATTTTCTTCAAGTGGGGTTGGTACTGCCACTGCATGTCATTCCTCCTGTCTTTATCTTTAAAAGAAAGAGTGCTGATTCTTTTTTGTGTGTCAGTCTGTTTATTCCTGTTGACTTAACAGAAAAAACATGGTAGAATATTCGGCTTTTTTTGGAGAAGCGACTAGTCAATTCTTATATACATCATGCATCATTAAGTCATGGCCAAATTAAAAAGAATATTAGTGATTTATTTCAAATATGTAAGCAGTAAACTATTAATTATAGTTAATATTTTGCTGTGGATAGAATAAGAAGCTGCATTAATGTTTTATGTTTGTGACCTGTAGGGATCGAGTTTAATTTGTAGTATCGGCCAAAGTGTTTTTTTTTGAAAAGATCACTTGGATTAAAAGAAGTAAGCTTCATCTCCCAGTGCATATGAACATTAGAAATTGCTTAATTTGACATTCAGGACCCCCTTCTATCAATCACTTTATCTTTCCATTCCCTTCTTGGTTACGAACTTTGTTGTAAGTGTGACAGACACATCATATGGTTGTGTAACTGGAATGCCTGCCTGTTCCTCTCTTTGACTGCTTCATTAAGATATTTATTGAGTACCTGTCACAGATACTGGGGATACAGTAGTGAACAAAACAGACAAAGACCCCTACCTAGAGAATAATACTGTTGAGAAAAATAAAGCAAGGGGCTCAGATATCAGAGTATGTGAAAGGGGATATAGTTTTCATATTGGGTGGTCAGGAAAGTCCTCAAGGAAGGTGACCTTTGAGAAAAAGACCTGAAGGAGGTGGGCATTAGGGCTATGTTGGTCTCACTCCCATCTGTTTAAATCATAAAGTCATAATTAATATGGTAATAATTCACATCGGTTTCTCTACCTTCCTTCCACCCTCGTTTCCCATGTCAGCTACTTAGATTGACCTTAAAATACTAGTAAAACTTTCCAGACTGTGGCAGTTCTCAACCTTTTGGTTACATTTGACCATTTGCATGTGTCTCTGTTCTTACTAGAACCTCTTGAAAAGCATTCCTTAGAGTTAGTGTGCCTTCTCCACCCGCCCCCCCGCCCCAGGTAGGTAGAGTCTCGCACTGGTCGCCCAGGCTGGAGTGCAGTGCTACAATCTCAGCCCACTGCAACCTCCACCTCCCAGGTTCAAGCGACTCTCCTGCCTTAGCCTCCTAAGTAGCTGGGATTACAGGCGCCTGCCATCATGGCCAGCTAATTTTTGTACTTTTAGTAGAGACAGGGTTTTGTTATGTTGGTCAGGCTGGTCTCAAACTTCTGACCTCATGTGATCTGCTGCCTTGGCCTTCAGAAGTGCTGAGATTACAGGCATGAGTCACCATGCCCAGCCTGAGTTAGTGCTTTTGATGTCACAAATATTTGGGTGAGTTTGTTTCAGTAGAATTTTCTGAAAACATATGAGATCTTTTTACTGTGGTATCTCAGAAGACAAAGTATTTGATATTGCATTTGTAGTCATTTTAATTTTCTTCTGTAACTATTTTAATTTTTGATTTTAAAAATGCGATAAAGGCAAATTGCTGACTAGTTTAGAGCTTTTCTTAAGATAATGGTATGAAAGGTAAATTTAATAGAGTACTTTTTTTTTTTTTTTTTTTTTGAGACAGTCTCGCTCCATCGCCCTGCGCCAGGTTGGAGTGCAGCGGTGCCATCTCAGCTCACTGCAACCTCCGCCTCCCCGGTTCAAGCAATTCGCCTGCCTCAGCCTCTTGAGTAGCTGGGACTACAGGCGCATGCCACCACACCCAGCTAATTTTTTTTAATATTTTTAGTGGAGACAAGAGTTTCACCATGTTGGCCAGGATAGTCTCGATCTCTTGACTTCGTGATCCACCCACCTCAGCCTCCCAAAGTGCTGGGATTACAGGTGTGAGCCACTGAGCCTGGCCTAGAGTACTTTTTAAAAAGAAGATTGTTTTCTCACACTTGAAAAAAATTGAATGTTTTTACATAGCTTTATATCTGGTTCAGAAGAGAATGAATTCTAATTCATGCTCTTTTTTTTCTGTTTTACTAATCCTTGAAAGAATTGTTTCCTTCCCCCAAAATTATCGTAACATTTATTGGTAATGCTTTGTATCATTCTGGAAAAGTGTTTAATTTCCATTTCCTCTTTTAAAAAAAAAATCTAGATGTGAGTTTCTTCATTTATTGTTTGAGGGCCCAAAGGCACAGTGTGAGTTTCTGATAGTACAAGAAGCAAAATGTGCTTATGATCTTTTTAAGGACTTTGTTTTTCTTTCATTGAGTCTCAACATCATGACTGTCTCCCAGTTTACAGCAGAACTTGCTTTTTACCTTGGATTAAAATTTGCTTTATTTGGCCGGGCGCGGTGGCTCACGCCTATAATCCCAGCACTCTGGGAGGCCGAGGCGGGTGGATCACGAGGTCAAGAGATCGAGACCATCCTGGTCAATGAGGTGAAACCCCATCTCTACTAAAAATACAAAAATTAGCTGGGCATGGTGGTGCGCGCCTATAGTCCCAGCTACTCGGGAGGCTGACACAGGAGTTTTTTTGAAACTCCGTCTCAAAAAAAAAATTTTTTTTTTTGCTTTATTTGGCCAGGCACAGTAGCTCACACCTGTAATCCCAGCTCTTTGGGAGGCCGAGGTGGGTGGATCCTTTGAGGCCAAGAGTTCGAGACCAGCCTGGCCAACATGGTAAATCTTGCCTCTAAAAATACAAAAATTAGCCGGGCGTGGTGGTGGGTGGTGGGTGGTGGTGGGTGCCTGTAATCCCACCTACTTGGGAGGCTGAGGCAGGAGAATCACTTGAACCTGGGAGGTGGAGGTTGCAGTGAACCGAGATTGTGCCACTCACTGCACTCCAGCCTGAGCGACAAAGTGAGACTCTCAAAACCAACAACAGATTTGCTTGCTTTATTATACTTATCAGAAGTGTAATGCAGTACAGTGTTGTATAGCATTTCAGTGCTGTACAGAGATTAAGCTTGTGGATAATAATTGGTAGATACCCTATTCTTTATTTTAAGTAGTTTAATGTAGGTGAATGTTCATTAGCAAGTGGTTAGCTTGAATAATACTGGCATATTTGAAGCATTGAACTTGTTTGATAGTGTAAGTCCCAGAAGACAGGTATTACTGTACTTAGGGCAAAGCAAAGGGAAGAAGAAACACTGTTTATGTCTAGAACTATGGGGCAGTGGTCTTTTCTTCCACTTTTCTTTGCTGCTGTTCATGAAGTTCGTTACCTTCTTGCTCTTTTTTTGTTTTGAAACTGAATCCTTCTCTGTCGCCCAAGTGCAGTGGTGTGATCTTGGCTCGCTGCAACCTCCGCCTCCCAGCTTCAAGTAATTCTCATGCCTCAGCCTCCCAAGAAGTGGGGATTACTGGTGTGTGTCACCACACCTGGCTAATCTTTGTGTTTTTAATAAAGATGGGGTTTTGCCATGTTTACCAGGCTGGTCTGCAACTCCTGGCCTTAGGCGATCTGCCTGCCTTGGCTTCTTAAAGTGCTGGGATTACAGGCATGAGCCACTGTACCCAACCCAGATAATCCTTTTTACACATTATTTAAAATTTTATTTTTTTCTGGAGATAAAATTTTATATTTCACTGTCTCCCAGGGGGGAATGCAGTGGTGTGAACATAGCTCACTGCAGCCTCAGACACCTGGGCTGAAGCCTGATTCTCCCACCCGAGCCTCCCAAATAGCTGTGTAGGTGTGAGCCACCACACCTGGCCTTTTTTTTTCTTCTAGACAGAGTCTCAGTCCGTCACCTAGGCTGGAATGTAGTAGTGGCATGATCATAGCTCACTATAATCTCAAACTCCTGGTTTCAAGCAATCTTCCCGAGTAATCAGACTACAGGTATGCCCTGCCATGCCTGCCTAATTAAAAGAATTTTTTTTTATATATACAGATAGGGTCTCACTATGTTACTCAGGCTGGTCTCTAATTCCTGGCCTCAAGAGATTTTCCCAAAGTGTTGGGATTATAGGCTTGAGCCACCTCACCAAGTTGAAACAGATAATTCTCTTATTCTTTTTTTTTTTTTTTTTTTTCCTTGACATGGAGTTTTGCTCTTGTTGCCCAGGCTGGAGAGCAAGTGGCACAGTCTTGGCTCACTGTACCCTCTGCCTCCCAGGTTCAAGCAATTCTCCTGCCTCAGCTTCCCAAGTGGCTGGGGTTATAGGTGTCCGCCACCATACCCGGCTAATTTTTTTTGTATTGTATTACAGGCAGGGTTTCGCCATGTTGGTCAGACTGGTCTTGAACTCTGACCTCAGGTGATCTGCCTACTTCAGTCTCCCAAATTGCTGAGATTACAGGAGTGAACCACCATGTCCGGCCTGAAACAGATCATTCTTTATGTTCAACCTATTGTCAAGATTGTTAGAAACATTTTCCCAGTTTCTTGTATAAATATACTTTGTATAACTTCTGATGAACCATAATTATGAACTCACATAACTACAGTAATATAATATTGCAACAAGTCATCTTGCATTTTATCAATGTCACTCATCCAGTTTTCCTCCCCTTTCTCTTATCCTATCTCCCTCCCCATCTCCTGGATTCTTTTGTCAGCAATCCTCTTTCTCCTTATACAAGGCAGGAGGTTTCTTGTCAATAGAACAGAACTGTGAAGGACTGCCTGACATGATCTGATATGGTTGTTCTTCATTTTGGGCTGTAGTATTCTAAAGTAGAGGTTTGCTCTGATAGTCGCACAGCTGCTTGCCATTGTCTTTGCCTTTGCTCTAGCTGTCAAGGGATATTACTTTAAGTTTGTTCCCCAGGCATTACTGCCAAGAGGGAAATTCATACCCACTTTAACAAGGTGTGAAGCTTATCTTACAGTTGCTAATGCCTCACTGACCTTTTGAAAAGGTCATAGTTTCTCTTCAAGTTGAGCAATTTTTCTCCCCCAAGAGCTAATTAAAGTTTCTTATTTCTGATATGCTCTCCTTGGCCAATATTTGAAAGTCTAGTATCAGAGCAGCTGTGATCCAGCATTTATCACAATTTACAACTTCCTGGAGAAGTTTTCATTCTGGCGTTACTCCTGGCCTTGACACTAGAATGCCCTGTTGAAAGCTTACAGTAACATTTGTCATATTCATTCTGGTTTTCTGCTTGCCCTAGCTCACTGGATGTTGGTGATGATTGGCATCTGTCAGGACTTGGTGGTCCTGGTGCCTCCTGTTTTTGTTTTCTTTATCCTGCTCAAACTGATATTTCTTAATTCATGGTTACCTTCTTGCAGCATTTGTATTGGACATTGCCTCAGTCTTCGTGGTTGTTTGCTATTTGTGTGATTTGTGTAAAAGTTCACTGTATAATATTCCACTAAATACAGATGTAGTCGTTTGGATTCATTATTGCCATAAATCATTTGGAAGAGTGCTTTCATGGTTTACCAAGTAGATCTTTTTTTTTTTTTTTTTTTTTTTTGAGGCAGAGTCTCGCTCTTTTGCCCAGCCTGGAGTGCAGTGGCACAATCTTGGCTCACTGCAACCTCCACCTCCCAGTTCAGGTGATTCTCCTCCCTCAGCTTCCCGAGTAGCTGGGACTGTAGGCATGTGCCACCATGCCTAGCTTATTTTTTTGTATTTTTAGTAGAGATGGGGTTTCACCGTGTTGGCCAGGCTGGTCTCAATCTCCTGACCTCATGATTCACCTGCCTCAGCCTCCCAAAGTGCTGGGATTACAGACGTGAGCCACCGCGCCTGGTCACTAAGTAGATCTTTTTAAAGAAGATTTTATTGTGAAATATGCAAACATTTTAATTTTAAGCAGGTTCACCCCCACCCCCATGGAATCTTGCTCTGTGGCCAGGCTGGAGTGCAGTGGTGCAGTCTCGGCTCACTGCAACCTTGACCTCCCGGGTTTAAGTGATTCTCCTGCCTCAGCCTCCCAAGTAGCTGGGACTGCAGGTGTGCACCACTGCACCTGGCTAATTTTTTGTGTTTCTAGTAGAGATAGTTTCACCATGTTGGCCAGGCTGGTCTCAAACTACTGACCTCAAGTGATCCAACTGCCTCAGCCTCCGTAAGTGCTAGGGTTACAGGTGTGATCCACCATGCCCAGCTTTTCTTTTCTTTATTTATTTATTAATTTTTTTTTTTTTTTTGAGACCAAGTCCCACTCTGTCACCCAGGTTGGAGTGTGGTGGCATGATCTTGGCTCATTGCAACCTCTGCTTCCTAGGTTCAAGTGATTCTCTTGCCTCAGCCTCCCAAGTAGCAGGGATTACAGGCATGCCACCATGCCTGGCTATTTTTTTTTGTATTTTTAGTAGAGATGGGGTTTTGCCATGTTGACGGGGCTGGTCTGGAACTCCTGACCTCAGGTAATCTGCCCACATCAGCCTCCCAAAGTGCTGGGATTACAGGTGTGACCCACTGTGCCCAGCTGAAGTACAGTTTTGACTTCTAATAATTCTAATAAACGAGACATAGCTGGTTATTGTATTTTGCCACTATTGGTTTCTGGAGAAAGAAAATAGATTTTGTGTATCATAATCCTTTTAGTGCTAGCCACTTTTTTTTTTTTTTTTTTTTTTTTTTTTTTTTTTTTTTTTTTTGAGATAGAGTTTTGCTCTTATTGCCCAGGCTGGAATGCAATGGCGTGACCTCGGCTGACTGCAACCTCGGCCTCCTTAGGTTTAAGTGATTCTCCTGCCTCAGCCTCCCGAATAGCTGGGATTACAGGCACCTGCCACCACACGCAACTTATTTTTTTATTTTTAGTAGAGATAGGGTTTCACCATCTTGGGCACGCTGGTCTGGAACTCCTGACCTCACATGATCTGTATGCCTCAGCGTCCCAAGTGCTGGGATTATAGGCAGGAGCCACCTCCCCCAGCCAGTGCTAGCCACTTTTTAAAAAAGCAACATTAAACCTAAAACAACATACATTCTAACATGTGCCGTTTCTCTTCTAGGTTTTGGCTTGGTTTGAAGAAGGTGAAGAAACAATTACAGCCTTTGTAGAACCTTTTGTAATTTTACTCATATTAGTAGCCAATGCAATTGTGGGTGTATGGCAGGTAAGCAAACATTCCTGTAGTGTAAAATTTCAGGAAGTTATATAAGTGACTAGGGCTGTATTAATCTTTCCATTATCTATTTTTCCTGATGGGTTGAGTAAAAATATGTCTATGGGAAGTTTATGTGTATTTTCCATTTATTCCATTAATTGTTTTTTTGTTTTTTTTTTTTTGACATGGTCTCACTCATTTGCCCAGGCAGGAGTGCAACGGCACGATCTCAGCTCACTGCAACCTCTGCCTCCCAGGTTCAGGTGGTTCTTGTGCCTCAGCCTCCCAAGTAACTGGGACTACAGGTACGCACCACCACACCCAGCTCATTTTTGTATTTTTTTGGTAGAGAAAGTGTTTCACCATGTTGGCCAGGCTGGTCTTAAGCTCCTGACCTCAAGTGATCCGCCCTCCTCAGCCTCCCAAAGTGCTGGGATTACAGGCGTGAGCCACCATGCCTGGCCCATTAATTTAATTAATTGCAGTTTTTTGACCTTTTGCATATAAACTTTGCAGTTAAGATTGCTTATTCTTCGCCAAGCGTGGTGGCACGGGCCTGTGGTCTCAGCTACTCAGGAGGCTGAGGTGCGAGGGTTGCTTGAGCCCAGGACGTCAAGGCTGCAGTGATCCATGATCATACCACTGCACTCCAGTCTGGGCAACAGAGCAACAACACCCTGTCTCAAAAAAAAAATTTATTCATCCTTTATGATAGGAAGAAGTTAAAATGGATGAGAGAAGCTGCTTAAGGAAATGAGAATGTGAGAACCAGCATCTGTCTTTATGTCTCTTAGTTGCTTCCTGTGACATATTTTATAAAAGCTTCTTGTCATTTTTGTTCTCCTTGGACTTTTTGGTAGGTTTAGGTATAAAATTTGTTTTGTTTCCCCTTCAGTGCATATTATAGGCTCTGAGACTTAAAATTCATGTTAAGTATTGATCTTTTAGGCATTTGGACTGAAGTAGACACATCTTTTAAAAATTTTGTTTTTTTGTTTTTTCATCTCTGTTAACCAGGCTGGTATGCAGTGGCACAGTCTTGGTTCATTGCAACCTCTGCCACCTGGGTTCAAGTGATTCTTCTGCCTCAGCTTCCCAAGTAGGTGGGATTACAGGCACCTGCTTCTATGCCTGGATAATTTTTGTATTTTTAGTAAAGATGGGGTCTCACCATCTTGGTCAGGCTGGTCTTGAGCTCCTGACCATGTCATGATCCACCCACCTCAGCATCCCAGAGTGCTAGGATTATAGGCATGGGCCACTGCACCCAGCCTTTTTTTTAGGAGACAGAGTTTTGCTCTTGTTGCCCAGGCTGAAGTGCAGTGGTGCAACCTTGGCTCACCACAACCTCCTCCTTCCGGGTTCAAGCGATTCTCCTGTCTCAGCCTTCCGAGTGGCTGGGATTACTAGCGAACACCACCATGCTTGGCTAACTTTTTATATTTTTAGTAGAGACAGGGTTTCACCATGTTGGTCAGGCTGGTCTCAAACCCCAACCTCAGGTGATTCATCCACCTTGGCCTCTCAAAGTGCTAGGATTACGGGTGTGAGCCACTGCATCCGGCCTGACACATCTTATAAACATACTTAGTCCTGCTGAAATTGTAAACTTCTAATCTTTATCAATAAACGTTATGAGAAATATGGCCTACTTAGAAATTTGTAATTGTGCTATATTCCTCTTGTTGTGTTTTCCTAAAAACAGTTATATTTAGGCTGAGTGCCATGGCTCATGCCTGTGATCCCAACACTTTGGGAGGCCGAGGCAGGGGTGGATCACTTCAGGTCAGGAGTTTGAGACCAGCATGGCCAACATGGTGAAACCCTGTCTTTACTAAAAATACAGAAAATTAGCCAGGCGTGGTAGCATGCACTCCCAGCCATTTGGGAGACTGAGGCAGGCAAATAGCTTGAACCCGGGAGGCCGAGGTTGCATTGAGCCAAGATCATGCCACTGCATTCCAGCTTGGGCAACAGAGCTAGACTTTGTCTCAGGAAAAAAAAAAAATGATTTGTTTGAGTTTTTAAAAAAAGAACATGCTTAAGTCTATATACTAAATGGTATGAGCATCAATAGAGGGTTCTGGCCTTCTGAAAGTAAGGAAAATTACAATGACAGTATAAGGTAGTATGGGGGGCATATTATTTCTGACCAGCATCATCCCGGATGGCTTCTTGTTTTTTGTTTTTAATTTAAGACAGAGTCTTGCTCTGTCACCCAGGCTGGAGTGCAGTGGCGCGATCTTGCCTCACTGCAACTTCGGCCTCGTGGGTTTAAGCAGTTCTTCTGCCTCCTCCCGAGTAGCTGAGGCTACAGGTGTGTGCTACCACATGGCTAATTTTTTTGTATTTTTAGTAGAGACAGGATTTCACCTGGCTGGTCTCAAACTCCTGACCTAATTATCCACCTGCCTCAGCCTCCCAAAGTGTTGGGAGTACAGGTGTGAGCCACCATGCCCAGGCTTTTTTTTTTTTGAGTCTCCCTCTGTTATCTGGGCTGGAGTGCAGTGGCTCGATCTCTGCTCACTGCGATCTCCACCTCTGAACTCAAGTGATTCTCCCACCTCAGTCTCCCAAGTAGCTGGGATTATAGGTGTGCACCACCACACCCCAGTTAGTTTTTTGTATTTTTAGTAGAAACAGGGTTTCACCGTGTTGGCTAGGCTGGTCTCAAACTCCCAACCTCAGGGGATCCACCCACCTCAGCCTCCCAAAGTGCTGGGATTAGAGGCAGTGACAAGCAATTGGTAACTCTTCAGAAACCAAGTTTTTGTGAGTGAAAGAGGCTGTGGAAGATTATTCCAGAGAGGTAGTAGCAGGAACCAAAAGGTACCAAATGTGTTTGAGGAACGATAAGCCACTTTGCATTTGAGTAGGAGATGTAACTGGAAGGGTATGGAGGTTGTAAACTTTTAGAAATAGAGGAAACCTTAGAAGTTTTGTAATTTATATTTTTGTTCCAGTAAGTTAGGTATATTTGTATTTTCTTGTTGACATTTTTTGGTGTATACTATCTAAATTTATGATTATTCAGTTCCTTTCCCCACTCTCTACATTAAATATTACATCTGTTAGTGTGAATATAGGGGGGACAGGGAGTATAATTTCAGCCATTTTCTTTTTTCATTTGATAATTTTTTTTATTGAGACAGAGTCTCACTCTGTAGCCCAGGCTGGAGTGCAGTGGCATAATCTTGGCTCACTGCAACCTCCGCTTCCCAGGTCCCCCAGTTAAGCAATTCTCCTGCCTCAGTACAGGCACACACCACCATGCCCCGCTAATTTTTGTATTTTAAGTAGAGACGGGGTTTCACCATGTTGGCAAGGTTGGTCTTGAACTCCTGACTTCATTATCTGCCCACCTCCACCTCCCAAAGTGCTGGGATTATAGGCATGAGCCACTGTGCCTGGCCTTTTCAGTGCTTTTAATTGTCATCTTTGTCCTCAGGGTCAGAGATAATTTATCTTTTCTTTTCCCCACCAAGACAGGCTGGAGTACAGTGCCACAATCACAAATCACTGCAACCTCTGCCTCTTGGGCTTAGTGATCCTCCCCCCTCTGCCTCCTGAGCAGCTGGGTGGTCTGGAAGTCTTGGACTCAAGCAATCCTCTTACCTTGGCCTTTCAAAAGTGCTGGGATTACAGGCATGAGCTACTATGCTCAGCTGATGATTTAAGTGAATGCAAAATACAGTGCTCATGGCATATTCGTTTAACCTTGAGCAGTACAGTTAAGTTCCACCCAACGTGATCGTGAAGCGTAAGATATCTGATAACGAGTTTGAAATTAACTTTATCACGTATTTCTCAAATTTAAGGGTTTTTAATACTTTTTCAGGGGTATATGCATCAAAAGTGAGGCACACGTGTTACCAGCTTTCAGCTTTGTGTCATTTAATTCTCTTTAGGCTGGTTTGATTGTACATCTTCCATTTTGAAATCTGGAAGAAAATTGCTGTGACTAATGGTTGACAGTTCATATATAATGTCGTGAGAAATACATAGCTTGCGACTGTCAGTGCTATGATGAGAATCCAGCCATTCATTGGTCTTTACCACTGGAGGGATAATTCTTAGGAGTTGTGAGACGTATTAATCACTCATAGCATTTACTGTGTGCCCAGAAACAATCTAAGCATGTTAAATATGACTTCTTATCCTCACAAGCCTTGAGGTAGGAACTGTTAGTGTTGTCATTTTAGAGACAGTAAACTTGTATGTTATGTAACCTTTCTACAGTCACATAGCTGTTAAGAGCCTATATTGAACCTGGGCAGCTTAGCCCAGACTATTAAACTGTACTGCCTCTCATGAGACAGAACTGATTTTAAATGGTAGGGGGATTTGGCTAGAGGTGAAGGCTGTGTTGCAGTCTTAGGGACAGTGGAGTCTATAATTGCTTTTCCTCATTGTTTTATCGCCTTACCTTAATTGAGGGTGCTTGCTTTTCATTTTTAATATAAAATTACAAGTGCCCTTATAAGGTAAGGTTTCTATTGCCTTAAGATATGAAGTGTTTAATACAAATGTTACTAGTGGACTTCTCTCTGTTTTTGAAATGGAGTCTCACTCTGTCACCCAGGCTAGAGTGCAGTGGTGCAATCTCAGCTCACTGCAACCTCCACCTCCCAAGTTCAAGCAATTCTTCTGCTTCAGCCTCCCAAGTAGCTGGGATTATAGGCACCCGCCACTGCACCAGGCTAATTTTTGCATTTTTAGTAGAGATGCAGTTTCACCATTTTGGTTAGGCCGGTGTCAAACTCCTGACCTCGTGAGCCACTGTGCCTGGCCTTTTTTTTTTTTTAACTTGAACATTTTATTCCTTGGGTTAGAAATAATTGCAGTGGCAGAAAGGTCTTCACTGCTTTTCTGTTTTCTTTTATATAGGAACGAAATGCTGAAAATGCCATCGAAGCCCTTAAGGAATATGAGCCTGAAATGGGCAAAGTGTATCGACAGGACAGAAAGAGTGTACAGCGAATTAAAGCTAAAGACATAGTTCCTGGTGATATTGTAGAAATTGCTGGTGAGTTGAGTTTGTCATTTTTCTTTCATTCTAGATTGTATTTCTGAATGTAGTCCTTTTCTAAAGGCTCATAATTATATTTAAAATAATTGTTTTCATGTAGCAATTAACACATTTTAGTACCATTCATACAAATCCTGCATTTTCTAAAATTATTTTGAAGTGTTTTGGCAGTTCTCTTCTTGTCATTGATAAGATTAAACAAGGTATTTGAATTCTGCTTGTTTAAATACATTATAGAACCCTAATGCTAGAGAAGTAAAACTTAGTATTGATTTGACAATTAATTGTAGTGAGCAATTTGTTAGAATACTGGCTAGTGACGGCACAGTTTTTTCTATTTTGGTTGTCGGCACAAATGTTAAGTCATACCTACAACTATCTAATTGAATCTATGGTCAAGGGAAATTTTATGACTCTAAAAGCTATACTTAAAAATACTTCTGTGTGGCCGGGTGCAGAGGCTCGCGCCTGTAATCCCAGCACTTTGGGAGGCTGAGGCAGGCAAATCAGGAGGCCAAGAGATTGAAACCATCCTGACCAACATGGTGAAACCTCGTCTCTACTAAAAATACAAAAAAATGAGCTGGGCGTGGTGGTGCGCACCTGTAGTCCTAGCTACTCGGGAGGCTGAGGCAGGAGAATTGCTTGAAACTGGAAAATGGAAGTTGCAGTGAGCCAGGATTGCACCACTGCACTCCAGCCTGGCAATAGAGCGAGACTCTGTCTCAAGAAAAAAAATACTTATGTGTTACACTTGAGCCAGGGGTCTCTGCCTGAATTCCAGAGATCAGCTTCAAAGAGTCTGTGAATTCACTGTGAGTCCAGAACTCTCCACAGACCTCCAAAGGGTCAGTCAGTATTCTCCCTGCTCTAGATTAGTGCAGCATTTATTTTCTTTTCGTTCGTTCATTCGTTCTTTTTTTTTTTGATACGGGAGTCTTACTCTGTTGCCCAGGCTGGAGTGCAGCGTCATGATCTCAGCTCACTGCAACCTCTGCCTCCCAAGCTCAAATGACCCTCCTACTCTAGCCCTCTAAATAGCTGGGACCACAGACAGGTACATGCCACCACACTTGACTAATTTTTATATTTTTTTGTGGAGGCGGGGTTTTGCTATGTTGCTCAGGCTAGTCTCACAGTCCTGAGACCAAGTGATTCTGCCTTGTCTTCCCAAAGTGCTGGGATTACAGGCTTGAGCCACCATGCCAAGCAGCCATATTTCTGACAGTCCAAAATCACAGTACCCCTGGGACCAACCAGGATAGTCTAGGTGGGTTGTTTGTTTTGGCTGTTTCACTTAGAGAGTCATTACATATTGTTATTTAGATTATCTGGATTTTCACACCCTTCTGAGTTAAGTATACTATTTACTTTGTTGTTATTTGTGAATTATCTCATTGTAATGCTTTTATACTGACTTGGAAAGGGTGTGCTTTGTCTTTATTGTCTTACTCATTTTAATGAAAATAATTAAAAGAGCTACATCCCTTAACCCATGCTCTACAACTTTGGCCTGTGAAAGGAAATTGCCTTGTCGTATTCTCTACTCCAGAAATTTTTGTCATTCATTCAGAAAAAAAGGATAGAATTACATATATGCCAGTAAGTCGATTATTTGGGTCTGTAAAGTATTTATGTGTAAATGGTGTGTGCAATTGATTTAACAGCTTAAGTATATTGTTAAGAAAAGTACAATTCAGAATGAAATGTTTTGACTATTGGATTTTTAAAAACTTTGTTTTGATGCAAATAGCATTTTATCACAGGTATATTATTCTGTCAGTCTATATACACACATTTTTGTGTGAACTATTGGAGGGTATATTGCAGACATGATGCCCCTTTACTCCTAAATAATGTTTGTTTTATAAAATCAAGGATGTTCTGTTATATAACCCCATTATGATTATCAACATTTGGAAATTGATACAATAGTATATAAGATCTTATTCAGAATTTATCAGTTACCACTTTTTTTGGTAAGGGGAGGACAAGGTCTCGCTCTGTCACCCAGGCTGGAGTGCAATGGCACCATCATGGCTCACTGTAGCATCGACGTCCTGGGCTCAAGTGATTTTCCCACCTCAGCCTCCTGAGTAAATGGGATCAAAGGCACAAGCCACTGCGCACCTGGTTCATTTTTGTATTTTTTGTAGAAATGGGTCTTGTCATGTTGCCCAGGTTGGTCTTTCAAACCCCTGGGCTCAGGCAGTCCTCCTGCCTTAGCCTCCCAAAGTGCTGAGATCACAGGTGTGAGCCCACTGTGCCTGGCCCACATTTTTTTTAATAGCAAAAGATATTTGAGTTAGGGAATTCTGATGGTGATAAAGAAAATAGGTCAGAATGGGGAAGGCTGGAGATACAGGGAAGCTATTTTAGTAGTCTAGGCAAGAGAAAATGAGGACAAGTAACATTAAGAATAATGAAGGAAAGATTTTTGAGTTCATGAATAGTGGCACTTAAGCAGGTATGCACATCAGAATCATCTAGGGGCACTTTTTAAAAATAAGTTTTTGTCAGGTCTCAACTTAGAATATTAACCCTGAATCTCCATTGGGTACAGAATTCTGGTCATAAGTAGTTTAAAAAGTGAGCCTCTGACTTAGATACAAAGCAGTAGATTTTTTTTTTTTTTTTTTTTTTTGAGATGAAGTTTCGCTCTTATTGCCCAGGCTGGAGTGCAGTGGTGCTATCTCGGCTCACCTCGCAACGTCTGCCTCCCGGGTTCAAGCAGTTCTCCTGCCTCAGCCTCCTGAGTAGGTGGGATTACAGGCATGCACAACCATGCCCAGCTAATTTTGTAATTTTAGTAAAGACAGGATTTCTCCATGTTGGTCAGGCTGGTCTCAAACTCCCGACCTCAGATAATCTGCCTGCCTCGGCCTCCGAAAGTGCTGGGATTACAGGTGTGAGCCACCGTGCCCAGCCTAAAGCAGCAGATTTCTTTCTTTCTTTCTTTCTTTTCTGTCTCTCTCCCTCTCTTCTTTCTCTCTCTCTCTTTTTTTTTTTAAACTTGGAGACAGGGTCTTGCTGTCTTATCCAGGCTAAAGTGGAGTTGTATGATCATGGCTCACTGCAACCTCGAACTCCTTGGCTTGAGGGATCCTCCTGCCTCAGCCTCCTGAGTAGCTGGTGATACAGGCATGTAACACCCTGCCTTGTTTTTTGTTTATTTGTTTTGTTTTGTTTTTTAAGTAAAGATGGCATTTTGCTTTGTTGCCCAGGCTGGTGTTGAACTCTGGGCTCAAGCAATCCTTTTGCCTTGGCCTTCTAAAATGCTGGAATTACAGGTATGAGCCACTGTGCCTGGCCCAAAGCAATAGATAGGAGAGTGTGTATGGGTAGGATATAGAATCAAAGATACTGGCAAAATTTCTAGTTTACATGACTGGGTGTAATGGTTCTGTACTACCTGTAGAAGGAAACACTGGAGGGAAGATTGTTTTTCCACAAATAAATGTGGTACGTGCAGTTGTAGATGACATCACCTAAATATGTGTACGAGATTCCGTTTGATTTTATTTAAGTTTTTAAAAAATAGAGCCAGGGTCTTGCTATGTTGCCTAGGCTAGTCTCAAAATCCTGGCCTCAAATGATCCTCCTGCCTCGGCCTCCCAAAGTTCTGGGATTTACAGGTGTGAGCCACTGTACTCAGCCTTATTGGGCTAGTTTAGTGTGTTGAGTCTACTTGAAGACTTAGAGAAATTACCCCCAAAGAGTTCATCCTTATTTTGCATCAGTAGATGGCAACGGTAGACTGCTTCAGAGGAAACCATAACCCTAATACCGCAAAGCACCATCCTTTTTGAATAAACAAAAGCCAATGTCTCTTCAACGTTGGTGATTTTGGTTTCTCTTTTTCTCTGAATCCTGGTTTTTGCCAGTCCTTCCTGTCTCCATAAGGCACTCTAACCTAGTTCACTGTGAGAAACTTGGAATTCATCTTGATTTGTTTCCCTCTCTTATTCTTTGATTTGTCTCTAAGACCATTGATTCTGTCTCCAGAACACACCCAAGTTTGTGAACTCTGTTTCCTCAGTCAGCATACTAGTCCAGCCATCATCTCACACCACAGCTGTCTTCGTCTCCTAGCTAGGCTCTGGCTTCCTTTGTTGTCTTCCTCCAATTTATTCTCCACACGAGTGCCAGAGTAGTTTCTTAAAGATTGTGTTATTGGCCGGGCGCTGTGGCTCACCTATAATCCCAGCACTTTGGGAGGCCGAGGCGGGTGGATCACGAGGTCAAGAGTTCGAGACCATCCTGGTCAACATGGTGAAACCCCGTCTCTACCAAAAATACAAAAATTAGCTGGGTATGGTGGTGTGCGCCTGTAGTCCCAGCTACTTGGGAGGCTGAGGCAGGAGAATTGCTTGAACCCAGGAGGCGGAGGTTGCGGTGAGCCAAGATCGCGCCATTGCACTCCAGCCTGGGTAACAAGAGCAAAACTCCACCTAAAAAAAAAAGATTGTGTTATTTATTCATCTGCCAAAAACCCTTAAGGGACTTCCCCATTGCACTTAGAAGAAGAAATTCTCTGACCTGATAAACTTGTATGTAGCTTGCTCCTGCTTTCTTCCATGATTTCATCTTTGCTGCTCCCTCATGCTGCAGACTTCCAGGCCTGTTTTTCAGCTTTCAGTACCGCCAAAGTCACCTTTTTATGAAAGGTTAGGCAAATTTTATAGTTTATTAATTTGCTCATTGCACAGATCTCCTAGTGGTGAAGCTTTGGTTATTACCGTGACCTATCTGGCTTTCTCACACTGAAATTTCGTTCTCCATATTGTAGCATAGTTTTGTTGTTGCATTTGATAGTTTAGAAAGGACAAACAGGCCAGGCGCGGTGGCTCACGCCTGTAATCCCAGCACTTTGGGAGGCCAAGAGGGGTGGATCACCTGAGGTCAGGAGTTTGAGACCAGCCTGGCCAACATGGTGACACCCCATCTCTATTAGAAAAAAAATAAAAGTTAAAAAAAAAAAATGACAAATAATGTTT